GGATGAAACAGAAACCCATGTTTCTTCTTAATGCAGAACTCGAAAATTCTTCCCCCAGAATTATAAAATTGTTTACAACGTGTCTTCTATAAAACTCTAAAATTACCATCTATATTTGAGAAAATTTCCTTTTTCATATGAACATCTCTATTCCTAAATCGTTTAAATACAGATTTCAGTAACATGTCTATTCAAACGTGTATCTCCAAAATATTAATAGAATTGGTCTGCAATTACTAAGATGTTTTTGCACAAACAGAGCAAGGTTATTTGATTCTAACTGTAAATTAAGTAGTACTATTAACTGTGCAATTAATTAGTTACCTTCAGTACTAAAAGCACGATCCATACCAAACCCAGAAAGACAGGCTACTCTGCCATGATCACTTAAAAAGTCCTTTTTAAGGAGTGTGTGTTACAGACCCTCTTTAGGAATCATAACGCGTGTTTTGAGGAGGGGGATCCTCCTTAAGTAAGGAGTTTTAGTCTTAGAGAAACTACTATCAACTCCTACTCAGCACCAGTAAAACTAGACAAGAACAGAGTTATCACCTTCTGTTACAGTCCTGAGTTTAATACAGTAATAGTTCCATCCAGGAAGGTGGTAAGTCAGTGAAAGAGGTTGAATACTTAAGCCCAGCCAAACCCAAGAAGACATGTGTCACATTCTCCAGAGTACATTAAAGCAAGAGTAGAAAACCCTTCAATTACACTGCAGTATGCTCTGCTCTCATCTCAATTAAATGTTAAGAAAAGGACATTCTTTATCATGGTGTAGCACACTTGGAAACAAGCCTCCCAGCCCAGCACTATTCCTAAGACCTCTGTAACATCCCGAAGACTAACAGTAAAGGTAAGATAAGCTTGCCCAGAGCACTGTCTCTAAACTAGATCTAAGTATTTTATGGCTCATTGAAATGCTATTCCAATTTAAAACAGTAATAGATTCTTTTATTAAACATGAAAATGGTTCAGACATTTCTGAAATTAGCCATACACTAATCTTGACAAAGAGAATGAAACGGCTGTTTTTATTTAGAGTCAGTCATCAGAAATCAGCTTCTTGAATAGTTTCTTAAAATACATAATTTTTTTTTAAGATGTGATTTAGGATCTTGCATGTTCTCTCTTTTGTAAGCTTCCAAGCCCTAAACGAAAAGGGACACTACCACACTGCTTTATTTACAAGAAGCTTTTACAATGCTACAATAGCATATGCTTCAGGTTTCCAGAACAGTAAGTTTTAGTCAAGCCATCTGGAGAAGGAAGTTCTCACCAGAAGCAATCATGCAAACTCTTCATTTAAAAGTGTCCTCCAAGAGATATGTTGAAAGACATTGTAGGTAACCAGTGTTTATAGTATTATTCCTTTCCCTCTTTGAGAATAGAATAGAAATAGATGGTAACTACGGTTTGTTTCACTGTCTCCTGTCGTGATTCCACTAACAGTGGCAATGCCCACCTTGATAGCCAGGTAAACACTGCTCTGATGACAGGCAAGTGGAAGAGGCAAAAGCTTTATCCTTCTCACCTGACTGAGAATATGGGCAGCAAAGCCAATGCTACTTTGAAAGAGCCTAGCTTTATCCAGCAGTTTCTAGTTCTTCCTTCTGTTCTTCTCCTTACTCATTCCATCATTTCCCATGTTATACCTCCAAATCCAGAACTTTCCTTTCCTCTGAACTTGCAAAAAGAAAAAAAATAAAGAAAATCTCTCCATACTGTTCTTTATAGTTAAAACAACCCAAGACAAGGACTGGCTTCATGCAAAGCCTGTTCCTGTGCTGGACTGACACTTAACATTCGTCCAAGTGCTTTAAGAATACATCAAGAACACTTACCCAAACACCCAGCACTGAGTTCCCACCCTCTTGCACTGTGTATCTGTGAGGTACGCATAGTATTGCCTGAGAAGGGAAACAAGAAAGTTCTTCAGTGGAGTTGAAAGTCCCCAGAGGATTTACATTTGGAAAACAAGTTTATGTTACAAATGTATCTATACTGAAAATGAAGTGCTGATGGTTAAAATCACATGCACTCCTGCTGGATGTCTACCAGATGGCTTCAATTCTAGTAGGACCTATTATTGCATAGATCAAATAGCTTGAAACAACACAGAAAATCTTGAGAGCAAGGACTGGGAAAGTACCCAAACTAGTAGGCTAACAAAGCTATGAATTTGCCTCCTGCCTCGCCACTGAATCTCCAATTCTTTTGGGCAAAGTGCAACACCTTCGGAAGAATTGAAGGATCCCCCACTTTTTCCACAGTCTTTAATTTATTAACAATTGCATTTTCTTGACAGTTATGAATTTGAATCTTGAAAGAAACTGAATATAGCTATTCCATATTTTGGGTGAGTGCTCTAACCACTGGCATGTTTTCTTCTCAAGAATAGAGTACAATCTCTCAGAATTTTGAAAATAGTCTGCAGACCATTCTGCTCTGTTCTTTATGCTCCTGAATTTTAGGATCTTAGAGGGGGGAATTCCAAAGAAGCGGAACCAAACTTGTTCTTCTCAGTTTCTGATTTGCAATGACAGATAGGAAAGACAAGTGTTATTAATCCAACAATAAAGAGATTGTTTAAGAATAAAGACTTCAACAGGGTGGCAAGTGCCATTAAATACTTAAAAGCTCACCTATATAGGCGCTTTAAAGATGTTTAAGGTGATTTAACTAACAGTGTGAAATCACTGCACATAACTTAAAACACTAACAGCTGTATTTTAGGAATAAACCAATGCATGGCTGTCATTTAGCTGTCCAAGGTAACATCACTTTACTCATGAATGGTAAATTCCCTGCCTCTAAATTCAGCACTGTGTGCATTCCCTCTACCTCCAGCTATGCCACAGGAAAAAAAGAAAAAGACAACTCTGCTAAAGTGTAAAATAATGTGCATGACTAAAAGCAGGTTAATGTTTCTATACAACTATTAACACCACATATATACTGTTCTGTTACTTGGAATATGGTAATGCTCTATCTTTTCACATAACATGCCAATATTTCAAGTAGAAAAACAGAACAAGGAATCCGGAAGAACTAACAGCTCTTATTTTTCCTCATCTACATTTTTGTGAGCACCTGATTCACCAGCTTGGTTACTTTCACATGCAGTCCTCAAGGATAATATATGCAGCTAACTCACAAAACAGGGAGATGCTATACAAACAGAAGATGGAACAGGATGGTTCTGCATCCCTATGGAAACAGACATGTTTCTACACATTTTACCTTATTAATTTACTTGTCAGAAAATATCTTTCATTGAAAAGCAATGATTGTTTTGCTTTTTGTGGTGGCAAAAGTATAGATTTCTTGAAACGTGCTGTGCTTATCCACAAACTATATGCAGTTCTTGGGTGCCTAGAAGTCAGGCTACTTTAAACTGAGAAGAAACAACATGGCAAGAAAATTACCTTACAGTGGGTGCTGTAATGATTCCTATGAAGAGAATTCTCCCCCAGCTTAAAGGGTGGCTTGCTTGGAACACAAAGATATGTTTCAAAAAGAATGTGTTCAACTCAGTCAGCTAGGGGGGGAAAAAAAAGTTAGCCAATAGCATTCAATTAATGTGCAGATAGTAATATGGAAACTAAAACACAGAAGGAAAACTATTTATGATCTACTATAGCCCTGCTGGTTAGATCAAGGATTCCTGCAAGGAATATACCAGTAAAACAATGAATCCTCTCCTTCTGCAAAAGTATTCACTCTCTTTCCAGAAACTCATTAAGGGACCAGACACTAATTCACACTGCAGAGTTCTTCTGGTAACTTTCATATGCTAAATTAGGGAAAATGACTGAGGCAAATTTGGTAGAGGAGAAAAGATCATTAAATGGAAAAAAAAAAAAATAAATAAAAGCGTATCAAACACTTCCAATTCCCCTTTTAAAACCTAAATTCAGCAAAGCTAGCATTTGCATGATCAAAATAGTTGGGACACATTCTAGAGTCTTACTAGATTAAGGCCAGAACTCTAAGTATCAGTGATCCATCCAACAGTCAATAGGAAAGAAAAACAAAAACCAACCAAAAAACACTCCAAAACACAAACATACCAAAACAAGAAAACCCACACACAATAAAACCAAACCAAGCAAAAAATTAGCCCACCCTAAAACCCCACTGTCTAGCAGTTCTTAAAACTGTATCGATTGCAAAGAGCAGTCTGATGACCAATACAGCAATCTGTAACATTTGGTGATTTTCTTCCCCCACAGATTCTGTAATTGCACTTCTGAACTATCATGTAACTCCTGTGAACAATGCCCTGACCAAGTCTGTATTATCAATTCATTTATCTGTGTATTTCAATGACAGACATACATTGCATTACAGTATCTTCTAGCCAAACACAGCCAATATGTAACTGAGCTGATAGTAGCTTTGATTTCACAGAATTTCTTACCTGCCAAATGATCATGAAAAGGTAGATTCCAGCTACTCTTTGAAACGAAGACTTCGGATCAAACCAGCGGACATAGGTCCAGCTGGCTGGGGTGAACTGTAATACAGCTCTTTTGATTTTCCCTGTGGTCGTGTGAATGTCCCTAGAAAAAGAGAATGGCTGGAGTAAATACAAGGAATATGCAAGGAGGGAAAAAAAAAAAGGCGGCAATAACCATGTTACTGATGTTTCAGAATAATCACCCTGTTTTGCTGGACAGCAGAGAACTTCACAGACACAACTGTGTACCAGGCAAGGGTGAATTAAGAAATATAACCTATTAGGCATTTCAGTCAGGGTACATTCCACCCTCTTCTATCCTCAGTCAGTAACTAACTACAAAACATAACTATCATTCTCCCCATGAAGGGAAGAAACATGGATTGTGATTCTGCAACTTTCTTGGAAAAATTAAAGGGTATTTCTTCCTAGTCTATGCTGTCATTGCTCGTATCCCAAAGACTCCTTGTTCTAGAGCTCACCGATATCAATCCTTCAAGAACCTGTCAGATTCGTTACTCATTAATTGTAAAAGGGGCTGGTTCCACAAGTTTGAAAATAGTGCACTTCTAGCACACACAACCGCTGATGTTCTGACATTAGATGCACACTAATCTCAAGAGATGTGATAGCACTGTTAAAAGCTAGAAGGCTTTTAAATTCCCTTTTAAGAAGGGATGTGAATGGAGGTTCATCTGGCAGAAGTGTTACTGGTTCTTGCTTTTGATAACATTAATTCAGATAAGCAATAGCATACATAGGATAGGGAATCTAAGAAAAACTCAATATTCCTTTTCTGAAGGAAGACTAGCAGGGCTTGAAGTCAGTTTTCACCCTGTTATTTCTCTGTCCCTTCTGGATACTCAGATTTGGTATTTCTGATCCTTGTGTTCCTCTAGGCTAGCAGGATCTTAGATAAGGGGGAATTATACCATCTTAAAGATCTGTGTTTATTCAGTGAAAAAAAGAAAAAGAAAACAAAGGGGCACAAGCAAAAGCTTCTCATTCTATGCAGCTCCTCTTCATAATAAAGGTCAAAAAATACACATGTATTTAAAAGAATGATAGGAAAAATTATTTCACAAAGACAGTAAAGACTAGTCCTGCCATAGATATTCTGCTGTTTTAACCTTTCAGTGAACTCTCTAAAAACAGAGGGACCAACAACTCTGGTGGAAGTTCAGGAAAATTGAATTAAGACTAAAGACTGGATGGTTCTCAGAGCAATTAACAAATTTGTGAGTAAGAAAAGCAAGCAGTACAGAAGTTCATGTCAGATACAAATTTGGAAGTCAAGATCTGAGCTCCTTTTGATCTCAGCTCCTTTTCCATCTCTCTAAAAGCAATATCCTTTGGCTTTATACTTGATCTGTTTCATCCATACCATTGGCAACATGAAGATAACCATCCTTGCCACCATCTGGCAGGGAAGAAGGCAGGAGAAGGGCAAAAAACTATGGATGAAACAATAACCGGACAGCTAGGAACTACAATTACTGGGACACAAGCTGCTGCCCTTTTACATAACAAATGCTATTTTATTTTGCAATTACTCCATTTATTTTAGAGGGTCAGCAATGGAGTAAGACAATTCACAGCAAAGGTACAATCAGCCTGATTGTTCTTCTGCAATTACAACAAGTGCTGACAGATTACCACACTAATGCCTCATCAGGGTGAGCCCAAATCTAGTTTAAAAACATCATATAATGAGAAAACAATTACAGTTTGTTTCGTTCACTGCCTTTTTCAAAGTTTTACTTGTACAAAATGAGCCAAAAATGCAAATAGCTATTATTTCATATTTTCATTTGGCATTAATGCTTGTAACTTAGGTTGCAATGGAAAATTATATATACATAATCATATTTACAATATGCTGCACAGTAGCATTACTATGAGATGGACTTTTAAAATTTCAAAATAAATTTACAGCATTGGCAGCACATGTGGATGGCATGCCATCTCTGTACCACAGGCATTTTAGATATACAAAGAAGGGGGTCTGTTTCCTAAGGAAATTAATTTAATATTATAACATCAAACAATGTTTATCAAGCTTTAATTTAGACCTACTTGAAGCTTGCCCAGTGATAGGTCCTCATCTCCAAGAAACGACAAACTACCATGCCCAACCAGATGCCACCCCCGTTACAAAGCAGGATGTCCAAAATGACTTGATCCCACCAGCATTCAGCAAAATTAGGCAGAAGGTGCATGAAGAAGAGCTACAGAATACAGCAAAAAGATTCTGGGTAAGGAACAGTACAGAATTCATACAAATACACTTTTTAAGTACACATTCAAAAATCAGCTTTTCAGTACATGTCATAGAATCATAGAATGGTTTGGGTTGGAAAGGACCCGAAGGATAATCTAGCTCCAACTCCCCTGCCATGAGGAGGGACACCACACACTAAACTATGTTGCCCAAGGCTCTGTCCAACCTGGCCTTGAACACTGCCAGGGTTGGAGCATTCACAACTTCCTTGGGCAACCCATTCCAGTGCCTCACCACCCTCACTGTGAAGAACTTCTTCCTTATATCTAACCTAAAGCTCCCCTGGTCAAGTTTGAACCTGTTACCCCTTGTCCTACCACTACAGTCCCTAATTAAGAGTCCCTCCCCAACCTCCTTATAGGCCCCCTTCAGATATTGGAAGGCTGCTATGAGGTCTCCATGCAGCCTTCTCTTCTCCAGGCTGAACAGCCCCAACTTTCTCGGCCTGTCTTCATACAGGAGGTGCTCCAGCCCTCTTATCCTCGTGGCCCTCCTCTGGACTTGCTCCAACAGCTCCATGTCCTTTTTCTGTTAAGGACCCAGAACTGTACACAATACTCCAAGTGAGGTCTCACGAGAGCAGAGTAGAGAGGCAGGATCACCTCCTTTGACCTGCTGGTCACACTTCTTTTGATGCAGCCCCGAATATGGTTGGTTTCTGGGCTGCAAGCACACACAGAAGCCAGCTCATGTTAAGCTTCTCATCAACCAACACCCCTAAGTCCTTCTCCACAGGGTCAAGGACATGAGCCACAACCACTGAAACTTGATGGGCACCCCTCCATTAACTTCAGAAGGCTTTGGATTGAACCACAAAAGACATCAGAGGTTTCCTTCTCACTGTTCCCTGTTGGGCTATGTGTACTTGTACTCAGGCAGCACTTGGCCTCTCAAAGATGATACACAGAACATTCATACAAATGCATAAAACAAGCAGAACTACTGCATTTTCTGGAGAAAGAAGGTGTTTTGTGCTAAATTGAAGAGAATCTTTGGCTTATTCTTGCTAAATAGTTTTAAGAAGCATGTTTTCTAAACCAGCAATAAAATGCAGTAAGTAGAATGAATGCATTTGTAACAACTGCCATGATTAAGCATACTGGAGTTCAGAGCTTAAGACTTGTTTTATTTCAAAACTCTTTCACTTACTATTTTTAGGAAATTTAGTGACTGTAAAAAGATTAAGACGTCACCAATATTTCAGACACTACAAGCTTTGCTGCTATACTTGATCCAGAATGGCTCAAGTTTAAGGGGATATTTCCCTCTCCCTACCTGTCTGGTCTCTGCTAAACTCTAATGATGAAGGTAGTTGTACGATGAAGAAACTGGAAAATAAGCCAGAAACAAATCAACATTGAAAAGCTGATGACAACTGGACATACCAAAACACATTCAGTTTCTTAAAGATTTCCCCTGGAAAGTGCACAAATCATTCTCCTCTGAAGAAATGTGCTTCTTTCTGAATACTCAAATGAATATCACTGTGAGGGATTAGTAAGGCAATTAAATGTATTTATAGGTACATCTGATGACTTTACATGTTTATAGCATGAAGAACACCTGGCCAGAATTTAAGCAAGATGTAAACATAATCTACTGAGAGCTAGAAATGGATTCAGCACCTCTCATTCTCCTTGAAGAGAAAATAATATTCTCTATTCTACAGGGAAAAATCACAACCAAAAAAATGGACTGAAAAAGTTAGCTGTGGACTGGAAATCAAGACATCCACGTGCTGCTTAACAGTCCCCTTGGAATCCTCAAGGAGATGCTTAACAAACACAGAGCAAACTAATGAATATTCTTACTCTCAGGAAAACAGTACGATTTCTGTCAATTAATGTCCACACACTGTGTCTGTGGAACATTATTGGCATGATTTTGTAATAAAGTATCTTTTGTTAACAGATGTATAAGAATATTCTAAAAAAAGACAGATCTGGGAAAAGGAGCAAGGTTTTCTGTAAACAGCAATGAATACTGGATCATTTATAAATTACAGTTACTGATACAGTGACAGTTCCTATGAGAACTCTTGCAGAAGTATATCAAAGCAACTTCATTTTCTTTGACAAAGCTATGGAAATTTCAACCTGTAGAAAAGAAAATTTTACTTTCTCTTCATGACCCAAGCTATGCAATGTTGCTCATTATCTTGCTACAGTTTCCCTTTCATGTTTTAAATTAATATAATCTGAAAGGGGCACTAGGCTATGAATCTCAATCTGCACTAATCCAGCCAAATCCATCAGATAACAAGGCAGCAAAAACCAGCACAGAGGCATTAGCCAGTCAATCTCCAATGTGCTGTTTTCTCAGAATGAGACACCAAGATCTGCCTGTATCCCAGCTTTAATCTGATAGCATGGAGCATGAGCCAAGTGTCCCATTTCAGAACAGGGAGCCAGCTGAAATCCATTAATGCTAACAGGAGATGCATAGCTAAATCCCTGTGTAGCTGCCCTGATAACTTCTGCAGGTTTCCAATGACTGTCCTGAATTAACTAATTCATTAAAAATCCATCTGAGTGGCAATAACCTTTCTATATGTTGAACCTTACCCAATACACTGTGTGTTCCAATAACCTGCCTTTCAACAACAGGGAATACTAGACAGCCCATGTGGTGTCAAATTGAAGATGATGGTTGTGTGATGATCAACTGAATGATAAGCGTGCATGTGAAACAAATCCAAATTTGTTCTTTTCCAGATGGAAAAAATGAGTACAATAACCAGCAAAGTTGTTTTTTGTGGATGGGAACTTGTGAAATTCCAATCTGAAGCAGTTTCAAAACAGTTTAGAAAACAGCATAACCTTCAATGCCACAGAATAAAAAAAAGCCTTTGAAAAGGAACTCGTGGCACAGTATTTTCAACTCAGAAGTTTAATATTTTTTACAACTAAATCCTTATCTATGCTTCTGACTTATAAACGCCTTGTCAGATGAGCCAAGCATTCTCAAGTTTCTCTACAGAAACTATGATTTTAAAGATTAAATTCAGGTGTTTACACCTACACTTAAGTGTAACAGGTTAGACCACCTATCCCAAAAGCATAGTCTAAATTTGATTTCTAATTTTTTCCTCTGGATTGCCCAATCAAAGAATATAATGAAATTAAACTTATTTTTATATAAATGCATCCTTGGGTTTTACAGAACATATTCTACTAATCAAGCTCTAGGTTACATGAAATGAAATGAATGAGTAGCAATTAATCAGCTTGAATTCTGAAAACAGGTCTAACAATAAGAAACACCAGTCCAAGCAACAGTCAATTGACTGAATCAAGTCAAGTATCTTTTTTTTTCCTTTTTTTTTATTTTAATCCAAAATGGGATTTGAAAGTGCCAACAGTCAAATTACTTACACAGCTGCTTCGGAGAACTGCGGTAAAGCTAGACAGTGGTTCTCCAAACCATGGTACAAGGGACTATACCACATGTGAACTAGCTTAGATCCGGATCTAGTAAAAAAAACTTAAATTTTTATGCCAATGAACATGACTTAACTAGGCTTGTGGGGTACAATTTAACAAAAGAAGGGCTATACGCTCAGGTCTCACGACAGAAAACACCACACTGAATGATGTCTTGCCATTCCACATAGACTTCTGCTCAGGGGTCCTCACACCTTCCTTGGTGATCTCTCAACTCCGTTTCACTGTACAGTATGCATGACTATACACAGCACCTAACACTGTTGTATTTGGAGTAAGGCAATCATGACAGTAGATCACAGATATTGCAAGGTGAAAAAGGAGAACGATTGCTCTGAATCAGGGAATATTAGTGAACATCTGAAGTAGCATGGGTGTTGACTCCCATAACAACAGAAAAAGTGGGAGACACCAATAGGCTGCCCTATACTTCTCTCCTATTCAAATAGGAGTAAATCACCTAAACCCCAGCTTGCTGTTGTCCACTAATGCAACTGCATCAATTGCTCAGCATCTGGTTTATAAGGCTTAACATGTAAATCTGTGACTGATAACTAATGAACTGTCTTTCCAGTAACATGCACACTTCCCCAAGAACAATTGAAGTTCACACATTTACTCATAATTAACATAAATGTGTGGCCTACCTCAGTGAGCTCCCAGGTGATACTAATAGTCCAGCACAGCCCATAGCTGCGGATCAGCAAAGCCTTCATAGCCCAGCCCCAGAAATGCCCAAAAGCAAATATATCGAAGTGGCTGAGGATTCTCTCCCAGGTGATAACATGGCAGTTCACAGCATACTCCTGTTAATAGTAAAAAAAAAATTAAAATACATATAGTTAAATAATTAATAATTATCCCAATCAGCAGGCAGATTCGTAAGCACTAGAATGAAGAAAATTCTTCCCATCCAGTGCAAGAAGCCTGAAATGATAAGCATATTAAAATAAGCATTATTCTGCTTTCTTGACCTTCTAAATTTTCTGGAGGAGAGAGTTTAAACTCTCCTCAGAGAGAAAGTTAAACTTTCAATATTAAAGACTCAGTATCATCACAGTTACAGCTCTAATTTAAAGAAAGACAGACCTTGGTGCCTGAAGGAACATGCATTTCTAATGTGACAGAGGAACAGCAGGAGCAATAAAATCAACAATAATAAAACCAGCAAACAATACTCCAGAAAATAGTTATTTGCTTTTCTTTGGGGTCAGAATTTGAAGTAACCACCTTCTCCCATTTTCATGCTGTCTGGTGTTCAGATGTGGCTTACAAGTGGCTAATCCTCACCAGTTCGTAATGTTATGTTACTCATCTCACTGTTCACTTGAGCATCTTTTGCGTTCTATTTTCTTCACGAAAGCAATTTACCAGAACACATTCTGAGAGAAAGTTCAGTCACAGGGCTGAATTAATTAATTAATTAATTAAAATTAAAGGGAACTTACGACTGTTTTGTCACAGATGAGTGGCAGATTCCTTAAGAATATTTTCCCATACATATTCCTTATATATATATTCATTAAGAATATATTCCCAAATATTTTAGCCATCCATAACAAAGGAAATATCTTCTCTTGTCATGTTGTACAGCAAGTGCTAGAAATCACTGCCTAACAACAAAAAAAAATAATATCTATGCCATGAGGAGGCTGCATCTGTGAGCCTCTGTCTTGTCACTGGGCACAAACTGAACTATTCCCAACTGGAAACAACCATTTAAAAGAAAAACCCTCTGCTCTCCACCCCTCCTAAAATGTGCATTGCCACCTGCAGGTAACAACACAGCACTGCTTACTTAGTGCTGTTAAATTTAAGGATTTTCTTTCAGGCCAGAACTATTGCTACGCCTTCACAAATGAACCATGATCAAGTTGAAAAGGGGATGGCAGAGCAAGATTTAAATCCTGGTCACCCTAAAAGAAAAATGCACAATTTCATACAAATACTACTTTAGTCCCACTGTGCTGGTGCTCCCTGAATTGAAAGCATAGTACTGCTACTTGCACAGGCCAGTGCTGCCGGTCATTCAGACAAAGGTGCACCACCTGTAACTGAGGACAGCAAAGCTGCAGCTTTAGTGCATGTACCCCAGATCTGCAACTGGCTCATTTGCCAGCATGAGAAGCACAAAATTCACAAAGGAAGACAAAGGCTTCTAGCTACACCATGGTATCTGAAACTCTATGATGAGTGAACACAGCAAGGTTACTAGAAAACTAACTTTTTCTTCAGGGCTCTTGCTTCTTTGCTTTTATTTTTACTAGGGCTTTTCCCCCTCTATCTCATTTTTCCAGCTGCCAATCTGCCAGTCATACATTGAAATGTGTTGAACTTTCTTCTATACTTGAGCAACTTTGCCAGCCCTGTACAAAAGACCATGCTGCGGCCTTCATTATAGTTGCACTTTAAAAATTTGCTCCAACTTTAAGTGACAGTATCAGGATTGCAAAACAGTACAGAGTAAGTTTCCACTGACTACAACAGTACTGTGGTTCTGTGCCAGTAGTAGTATTAGTCCTCCCCTGACTTGAATCTATTTATTTCTGACTTAAATGACAGGAGAGCCAGGTGAATCTGACTTACCAAGACTCTTCATCTCAGCTCCCTTTTGTTGCCCAGCAACATCACCAAGCACCACGCTCATGCTCCATTTCACAATGTGTCCTCCCACAACCCTAACAGCAGGCTGCCCACACCTCACCACCACCACCACACGTCTCCTGCAGGACAGAAATTCACAGCCCTATTCTGGATGCTGGAGTTGTACAAAATGTACTGCTGAGGTGCAACACCTGAAGCATACAAAGTTTTACAGGCAAAGAGCCTGTGAGCAGCCCTCACTATCAATCAACTAATATAAGCTTATTGCACTGTAAAGATTACCATTCCTGCCACAGAGCAGGAGTTTGCAGCCACTACTGATTAGGTGCTGTGCAGTAGTTTGCATATGCAGAAAATTGCTATTTACCAGAGACAATCAGTGTATTTCCTTACTCTTGAGGCATGAGTCTGATAACGGCACTCTCATCTCTCCATGCAGTAATCCTCTTCTGCTTGGTGCTCAACTGCTCACACCCTCTTCTGCCTGTCTCCCCAAATACCTCACATGCTTCTCCCAGGCCTCCTTTTACTACCTCAACTCCCTGCGCCAGTGTCCTCACCTGAAAAACAATGTTCTCTGTATTAAAAACTCCTTACAAGCTGCTCAGCAGGCAGAAGAACAAGCCCGGCTTTCCATGCCATTCCAGATGTTGGTCTATGGAAGTAGTTTCCCAATGGTAACAGCACCAGTGCTTAGCTGGTGACTGCAGGCAGGAGAGCCCTGCAATTGCTGTACCTGGATTTCCACATACTCAGTAGCATGCCAATCATGTACTAAGCTCAGACCAATAAGGCAAGATCAAAGTTCTTTGAGTGCAGCATTGAGGCATGAAAAAAACCCAACTGATCTGGGACATGGGCCTCATTTAGATACTACCTTCCTAAGTCTATTTTCAGTATCCAGGCTTATATTTATTATTTAAAGGAATCCAAAGCCACTCCAGTTCAAACATATCACACACTCCCAACTGCACACTCACCTGTATTAGAAAAAAAAAGAGAAGACCGTTTTTCACACCAATTGATTTCAGTGTAAATAAATAGGCTCATTGACTCTCTCAAGTATAAGAACAAACTTGCACTGCTTATGCCAACAAATTCAGATTTATACCTTCCCACTCATACAAAACATGCCTAAAATAGCCAAAATGTCCAATAAGGTCCCATGGGTACATACCATAATATCTGCTTCCCTTGTGGCATATCGAAGATTAGGATCCAGCCAGTACATCACTGCTTTTACCTGCTCAAAGTTAAGGAAGAGCACGAACACCAGGAACAGAAAATAGAGCACACTGAGACCTGCAAAAAAGACTCAGCTTTAAAATCATATTCACTCCCAGAACTCTTGGGGGGCGGAGTTGAAAAGCTGCTATCAAACTGTTGCTCTATACGTGCCTAGTTTGCACAAATGAGTTTTCTACATATGGCAGCTAGATGCAAAAAAGCTTAAGAAACACAAGTCAGATGGTAATCTCTGAACACTTGGCTCTTCATATCACCTCCTCTTTCAAGTGATATAGTACGTGCTTGACTGCATGAACACAGTCAAAACACAGTCTAATCAGGTCAAACACAAGCACTACAAGGCTGTAATTGGGAAACTCTTTTATATTAAGAGATACATTAGGACCTCAGGACTGGATTAGCTCTGTCCCTTTAAGTATTCTTGGTCTCACTAATGCAGGTACCTAAGCCTATATGCAGAGTTCAACACAAAGATCAATGTAGTAATCCCACCTGGCAATTCTGCGCTACGCTGGCAATAAAGAGTAGTTATAAATACAAACTAATGCATGTTTGAGTTACTTTTGTGAGCTAGAAAATTTGCTGCTTGAAGCTTTTAAAGGTAAAAATTATTATTTGTTTTCACACCATTCTAAATTATGAAGCAGTACTGCATTTGGGACTACTACATCTCTCCTCCCAATGTCTCCACATGGATTTAAAAAAAAAAAAAAAAAAAAAAAAAAAAAAAAAAAAAAATTCTGAGAAGACTCCTGGGTGTGGATCTGTGTGCAGAGAAAGCCACTGCTGGAAGCATTCCTTTACATTATTCACAAGTTCACAGATACCTAAGACCACATTTGGAAGAGTCATATAGACACTAACACTATTTCCACAGTCTAGCACTAAAACTTACTTGTATCCTGCAGTGATGTCATGGAAAGTAGAAAGATTAATGTGAATAAACTCAGTATCTTCTACCCAAAATAAACTACAGCAATTCTAAAAATATATTTTTAACTATAACCAGAATCTACATGTTATTAATCCCCAGCGTATGCTAGAGAACAAATTCTGTTCAAGTACACACACATGAACTGAAACATTGTCCTCTGCAATACATCCTAAATGCACATCAGGTAAACAGATGCTACACTGCTACAAACAGTACAGCCTGCAGGCAAGAGTGCATCCTGAAACGTTGAGGGCACACTACTCCTGCCTTTCATTTACATGAATAGGTCCAAGACCTCAAGCGTGCCTAAATAAGCCATGCCAGAAGAAGCGGAATTACACATGGAAAAACACTGCTCTCGATTTTGCATGAAGCCTTTTCCTGAAACTACAAGGGGTCAAGCTTTGACAGTAGCAACATCAAGAACGACCTTTACTTTCCATTTGCTGAAACCTGAAATGAGCAGTAGGACCTCCATCTCCTCAAACTTCACAAGGAGCAGGATTCTTTAATGAGTACTATCTAATCAGCAGTATCCTCTCAATGTCAACAGATGAGTAATCAGCTACTTTGGGAGGCTACTTATTTTTAGCTATATAAGGTGGCAGGAGAGGGAAACATTTGGTCCCCTTAAAAAGAAAGGGATCAGCTTTTAAACCCAGTGTGCCTAATTCTCTGCAAATGTGGTTAAAGTCTAGGACACGCTCAGTGAACCATGAATGATTTCAAAATAAAATTCCTTGTACTTTTCCATGTAATTCAAATGTTTAAAGACCAAGATTCCTCTCCGTCAGTTCAGTAGTTAATAGAATTATTTTCCAAACTATGAATGCAACTAATATTTACAAGTACTTTTGTTGAAATTTAATGAATATGAATAGATACATTTAAGAATATTAATAAACATATGTTAAGCTATACAATGATACAATTTAATTAACATACAAACTAATAGCTTATTTTGCCAACAATGAAAAGCAGCACCTTATTAAATTGGATTTAATTAGAAGTCAGGTAGCATATGTGGTAGCTATTAAAAAACCTGAACCTTTTTGGGGTGGGAAAAGATAGCAGTAGGAAGCGTGTGGGAGAAGGAGCTTAAGAAGCACAAACACAGATCAGGATTAAAACAGAGTATCAGAATGAATGATCCCTTTCTGGTGATTTAATTTACACCATCCTAACACAGAATAACTACAATGACATTCCCAAGCATAACTAAGAAGAGATTATAAGCAATTGCTCAGAAGTGGGAGGGAAGTGACATTCACACAAGTTTGATGCGCAATAATGTTTCATGACAATTCAATTCATCTGAAAGTTAAAGCAAATGGTGCTGCAGAAACACTGATGAAGTCAGAAACACAACCTGAACTTACCAAAAACCATTCTCCATATTGCAGGGTGGGGACGCGTAAAGGGTCCTGTGGACAGTAAACAAAAAGCTTATTAGAAGACAATCAATGTATTTTTGAGTGTATCTCAGGAGGATGTGGCACAAGCACAGCTCAGTTCTCCACCAAACTATGTAATATACCCAAAAATTGGGGCTCTATGATAAGAAAGAAAAAAAAAAAAAAAAAAAAAAGAGAGGAAAATGAGCCTGCTGATTAGTAGGGTATAGACAAAGTTTTCCATTATTTTATAGTTATTTCCAGGACAGCAGTATTCTGTTTGCTCAGGAGACACAATATCCCAGATGTCACCTGAGGACCTCTTGATCTGTTTTCTAGACCACTCCTTGCACATGGCTTGCTCCCAGTAAAGTCATCAATTACAAATTTCTGTGTGTTAGCAAAGAACCATGGTGCTTAGCCTTCAGACAACCATGAAATGTTACGAAATAGGCCTCCTAAAACTTCCAAACTGAGTATATATAGCTGACAAGAAGATACCTATGCTTCTTACCAGTGTCAATATTATTTACTTTAGAACCAGTGACTAAACTGACTTTATGAGATCAAAAACATCTCAGTTAATGTGAAGAGCACAGAAGGTAAGTCTGATGAAACTGGAAAATCCATAAACATGAATCTTACACTTAGGTAGCAAGAAGTAGCAGAACAAATATTTTCAGTACACACTGCAGACTGCTCTTTCACCACTGTATGCATAAAGCTCATTTTTCTGTGGCACTCAGTTTTCCAGGAATCACTTTGTGAAAAGTATGGATTAATGATTTTGAAAATATGAGAAAAACACATCCCAGCTCTGAAGTACAGAGCAGCCCTGAGCACAACCACTGTTTTTTCCTGAGCACTGCCAATCATGAGGCAGTTTAGACTTGACGCAAGAATTATGCTCTTGCTGACAGCAATAAGTAAAAATTAAAAATAAATAATAATTAAAAAACCCCAAACAACCAAAACCACAAAAACCCCAACCAAAACCACAAAAACCTCAACTAAAACTAAGCAGTAAGAGCATTTCCTCCACAGAATTAAGTGTCACACAAGGGTTTTTTTTTTTTTACCTTTTTGCACTTCCTGCTCCTCACACAATTACCAAAACTTTTGTGCAAGTTAACCTTCTACTGACCATGGTTTTACACTGGAATGTGACTAAGACCATTTCTAACTATCACTACCCTCTGGTAAAGCAATTACTGTAAGGTGTTATATCTCCGAGAATTTGTAGAATGACACTTTGTTAAAATACACTAAGGCAGACTCTTTTTAAACATTATTTAAGGATCTTCAGCATCATTACTTCGCAATCTGAGCTGCAACTGCGCACCTGCAAACAGAGACACTGATTTTGAGAACCTCACTTCCTTGTTAGATACAGACAGGCTATAAATAAAACTGCATTTTCCAGTTATCTCCACTCAGTATGACTGCAACCCATTTTTAGACTGTTCCTTAACATAAAGGAATTCAAAAAAGAAAAACTACATTAAAAAAATGGTACTTTAATAAAATCAAAATAAATTTAGTGGCAATAAAGAGAAATTCACATGCTACAAAAAGGTGAAATATAAACAGTATAAACCTTACTCACCATTAGGAAAAGCTAGAACACTGATGATTAAAAAGAAGAAAATCACAGAGAGGATACCCCTCCAAATATTATCCTCTGGGACAGAATCATCCCTGAAGAGACAGACAATATCAAAGTGTTAAAGTATATTATAAGGATGAAGTTGAAAGGCTTTATTATTTAAATAAAGACTATATGGAAATTCAGTAAAACAAATAAGCATGCTGATTATATAACAGGTCAAGATAGTAACCACATTGAATGATTTTCACTCTGCACTTCTGGGTATCCCTTTCTCACAAGAGTTAAACATATAATCAATACATGCTAGCCATAAGCATTGTTAGAAGTCAATGCAGAAGCAATGAATAAACTTAACACAAGGCGAAAAAAATATTCCTGCTTCTTTCCATTGAAATGTTCACAGAAACATCATCAAAGTACATTTACACAGCAAACAGAGACCTAGACCAAAACCACTGGAAGCCTGGATCCAATTCCTAGGTTTCCCTCTGCTACTCTAGTGCTGCCCACAATACCCTTCACTTCCCTCAACCTCTTCCCAATGCTAAATGCCTGAGGTGAGTGCAGACAGGGTGGAAACAATAATTACAATCAGCCTTTGGAAATAATAATTACACACCTTAGAATTCACGTATAACAGACACAGCACAACTTAAAAGAACCAAAGACAAATATCATCTTGCTTTTAGATCAATTAAGCCAAAGCTCTGAATAAAATACCAGGTATTATTTGTTCTACTGTCATATTATGGCCAGAAGAGAGACCTAACAATTCAGTTTGGAATGCCAAGGCAAACTTGACTGAGCTCTTCTTTCTTCTCAGGCTCGTAGAATACAGTGTACAGCAGTGAGGTTAATAAAAACAAGCCTACCAACATTTATAACAAACAGTCAGGTCTAGGATATTTCAGCAATACCAATAGAAACAAACTTCAGACTATCAAAATGCGCAGAGCTAATATTTCATAATGCATCACCAACTAGAACTGAAATTAAAGTTTTAAATGTGGGTAATTTTCAGATAATTAGGATCAGTTTATCTAATTAAATATAATTTTTTATTCATTCCCAACCTGTGATACCAAAGAATTCCCAGCAAAATTCAGAGGGATAAAGTTCTTCCTGGCAGAGCATCTGTCAAGTTTCTGGATGGTCCAGTAAAAAAATCTGTGACAGCATAAATGTGCTCCATGTTTGATATTTGCTACAGTTACAAAATATTTCTCGCTTTGCCAAATTATTTCCCTTTTCCTCAAAATTGAACCTTAACAGCTCCACAGCAGACTTTCATCATTGTGAGGCATTTAAGCACTGTGTTAGTTTAACTGTATGGCAGGGGAAAGTACATTAAACATGAATGGTTTCTCTGCAGGCCTTAGGCACTCCACACAGCATTTTCTCTTTAAACCATCTCAGTCCAGATTTACCAGTCATTTTCCAACAGTCAGGCTGCACAGCCTGACACTAATTATACCAGATATGAACCCCAAGTTCCAGAGCTTAATTCTGGCTCCCTTGGCAATCTCAACAGCATCACGCCGTCCAGTATGCTTCCTAGCCAGAGCCTCAGGCTCCAACGGCTTGGACAGCAACACCACATTCCTGTTTTAACATACACAACTAACACACAGGCACATGCTGTCATGGGTGCCACCAAGTGGAGGAATTCCTTTTTTTTTTCTTTATTAAGAGAGAATAAATTACTAGAGTCACATCACTGTACAATTCAGCATGACCAAGAAAGAAGTGACAGACACTGTGATCACATCACTTGGTTGTCACACCAACTGGGCTGAGGGGTCTTCCCCTTTGCATATCAGTGTTCTGAGTACTACTCAGCTCCAGGAAAGCTGTCCTAGTCATGTTGGCACCACTTCCCCCCAAAATCAACAAAGGTGATGTATGCAGTGTTAAACAGCATTTCGTTCCAAGTGAGTGGTAAAGACGTTTCATTTTGACTTGCAGACACCTTTCAAAAGGGCTAGACATCTAATCTTCCTGCCAGAAGCAGGTAAAGTTAGGCAAGACTCCCTGCTGCACACTAGTTAGGGTAAGAATTATAGTGCTTGCCTGGAAGAACTATTGATTCCTGCTTCCATAAACCCCTGCAACTTCACACCAGAAGCTAACAGTCTGTCGCCTTTCTCAGTCTTGTCGTTGTGCTCCACAAAACACCCCCTCCAGCATCCACCTGCCCTCCCTGCTGGTTGCCTCTAGACTAAGAAAAGGCCACATCCCTCTCTCTAGGGAGGAAGAGGACAGGGAAAGCTAGAGCCATTCCATGCAACCACTCCAAGGCACAGCCTGGAAGCAGAGGAGCCTGTGTCTGGGTCATTCAGAAGGAAATAACCGAGGCAGCTGCAATAATTTTCAGAAGCACTAGAAGGACATGCTTTAAAAACCAGAATCCCTTCTACTCCCCACTTCAACGTGGAAAAGTTAAACACACGTTTCTTTTTATAGATTATTATTGCTACGTGAAGACTGCTGCTGTCTGAAGTCAGCTTCATCCTTATCTATCAGCTCAAAGTCAGCATCAGCTGCTCCCAGTGATCCCAAGGGAGACCCTACATTATTGCTTGGTACATCCAAGGGAAAAACATTTTCTAAATTTTTCTGAACCCCCACATATTTCTGACATAAAACAATAATAGAAAAGACAAGAAAGACTCTAAGGGAAGCAGAATTTCCTCTGTCTATGCTGAAGTTCCTGAAGGAAATTTTTTTTTTTATTTAACAACATCAGTATGAAACAACATAGAAAATCCCCTGCTTAATAAGCTGATCAGGAGAGCTATGGAACAATTGACAGCACCAGGGAAGCAAATAATCATTTGTCACACCTTACTGGGAAGCCTACCATGCCTTATGCCCAGGAGGTGGAAATATACACACATGTCACTGGAGACTCAGTGCAATGGGTGATGAGAATAGAAAGGCTGGGAATAGAAAGGCCAGACCTGGAAGCACACACTGTAAGCATGTGGGGAACTATCTCCTCTCCTGCAGTTTCTCAAAGAGTACATATGGTTTGGGAAGTGTCCCAAATAAGGCAATGGAGACAGCACTCTGGTATCTCCTAGGAGATTTAGGAAACTCTTGTGACAGTTGAAAACAGCAGAAGAGAAAATAAAAAAATCAGAGTAGCTTCCACAACCTGAGGAGAAACAGACAAGAGTTAGACAGAAGTCAAAAGTTATTTAAACACAGGAAGTGAGGCAGACCAGGGACAGATAGAGAAGAAAATGAAACTGAAGAAGTGGGAGTTAGAAAGCTAGCAACACAAACAGAAAGAAAAGCTAGCAATCCTCTTGGGAAAATGCAAACAAAAAAAAAAAAAAAATCCAAAGTGAAGCAGCCTTCTTTGGGCCTAGAAGACTCCACAGTTCTGAAACTGCTGCTTGGCTCAGCCTCTGCTTGAATGAATTAATGGCACAACTCCCTTCCTTCCCCAAAGGTGAGCGATAGATTCCACTAATCCTTCAGAAAGATGTCTGGATGAGAATCTGTTACTAATTCACAAGTCTGACCTAAACTAGCCCTATAGTGAGAGAAGGGATTGGTTAAGTGGAGACTGGACAAGAGGAGCACTCCCAGCAAAGGTCTCTAATTAAACATTGTACCAAAACACGGAAAAATGTTTCTGATTTAAGAGTTAAGAAGAGATGCCCTGGGACATTCTACCTTAGCTGAGGTAACAGTATCTAAGTCGAACAAGCAATGTGTTCAGCAAGAGTATCTTCCTTGTGGTCATGTATGAGTTGAATCGAGACAAAGCACACCTCAGACCATTTGCAGCTACACTATTTTACACTTCCTTATGCTCCTTTTTCAGCTCAGTCCAGGCTTGACCATTATTTTCATAGCTGATAAAAACTATTTATCTAGATTCTTACAAGATGGAAGATCACACACTGAACTCAGGCCTAGCAGCAAATGATGATATTCTTAGTCAAATGCAGAGTTTAATCAACAAGGCCATTGAAATCTGATTGTGCACATGCAATACCATAAAAGTAAATGAGCCCTAAACATAAAGCACAGCTCAGCTGAAACCTCTCAGGAATCACTGTTTGACCATAGACTGCATGATTTAGCCTAAAGGAGGATTAAGTTATCATCTCCACAGCCTCATTCAGTAAGGAGGCAATAAAAGGTATGCACAACTTAGAAAAATACTGCAAGACACCCTTCAGACTGCACTACTACACCCTGCATTCACACATAATGATCACTGAAATAACTTTGTCCATTCTTAGCTTTATTTCCATGAATGACTGCAGTGGCAAAGTCCACAGAGCTGTTCTGCGGTGGGGAAAGGATGTGGCTACCCATATCAGTGCCATATCAGTACCAGGGCTTAAGTCAGCATGTGACTGGGCACAGACAGAGTGTGCTGTATAAAAATGATACAGAACAATCGCTCCCATCCGCTCAACACTTGGTAAATTATCTACTTGAGTGATGTCATTGCTGCGCTTCTTGATAATCTAATAAAAGCCATCTTGGTCAAGTGCTTGAAGCGCACGTTTTGGTAAAGACTTTTAACAGAGACCCTCAAAATGACCAACAAGTTCGCAGGAAACGCAGTAGAGGGGATAACGGCTCTCTGAATGGAGGGCCTCCCTCCCGAGCAGGATGCTCCCCAGCCATCCACTGACACTACACCCCTGCCTGCAGAGCGTGCAACGAGTCACGGCCCGACACCAGCTCTCCGTTATTCCCCCGCCCCCCAGCAGGAACCACCGCCCGCCCTCGCCCCGGGGACCAGCTGCCTCCCCAGGAACCCC